AAGAAAAATTATTCATTGTTTTGGTGTCTTTGGCTGAGTGAGAGTTGGAAGTGGGATAAGTTACTACTATGGGTGACTTGGCCATGGAGGAAGGGGATTTTTATGCGATTAAAGATCGAGCAAGTCATGGATATGCTATGCAAGCCACTATTTGATTCGTGTGGTTTGGTACCTAGTGTAGTTAATGTCAATAACTTAGATCATAATTTTTTATGAACTAAGTTGTGGGCGACATTTGTTTACACTAACATATTTTCCCCTTGAAATACTACTTGGGTGACCATCCAATGCATGGTTACCCTGTGTCCAGTCTCATGGTAGTCATCCAACCTCAGTGGATGGTAGCATCTCACATTACGGATACCATCCAACCTCTAAGTGGATGGTATCATCCCATATAGTTGACACCATCCAACCTCTAAGTGTATGGTGACCATCCCACATTAAGAATACCATACAACCTCTAAGTGGATAATACCATCATATATAGTGGACACCATCCAACCTCTTCGTGGATGGTGATCATCTCACATTATGGATACCATCCAACCTCTAGGTGGATGGTATCATCCCAACCCCAAAGTGGATGATATTATTCCATATAGTGGACACCATCCAACCTCTTAGTGGATGGTGACCATCACACATCATGAACACCATCCAACCCTACGGTGGATGGTATCATCCCAAATATTATCGATACCATCCCTCATTCATGGATACCAACTAGATGGTACCCATCAGGTTGAAGTATGGTGACCATCCAATGTTATGGTGACCATCCAATCCAAAGTGATGACATGGTGGATGATGGTTATGATATGATCACGTGTCCAGAGATATACGACAACTGACAAGCGTAGAGGCTAAGCGAAGCCACTTTTTGGGAGGAGGAGAGAGATTGCAGTTGGGCAACTATGGCAACAAAACTTGAAGCAACCTTCTGGAGTAATAAGACATGCACAACTAAAGACATAGATAACTTTTCTTAACTGTACCTTTTTCCTTTTTCTCTATAGTTTGTGGAGCTCTCATCCGTGAAGGATCCTCCACAGTAGTAGTCTTAGTTGTAGTCGCGGAGCTCTCAAGGAATCTCTGTAGGAATAGTGTAAGGAAATGTAGATTCCCCATACATCAAACACCCTTGTTGGCGTCACTTTCATAGAAGTAAGGCGCAACCCATCCACCCGTTTTTCCACCAAAAACACACTTAGGAAATTCCTTTAGTAGATCTTTTTGCTTTCCTGGGCTTTGAGACTAATTATTGTCCATCACTTTACTCCACTAGCACTAATTCATTATGCGCCTAGTGTTGGAAGATATCTTCGTTTCTCCTCTTCCACAAGTACCACGCAACTACCCCTAAAAGAAGTAAGTGTGCCTAGCCTTTGAGTTGAGCCGCCATCCAATATGGAAACCCAAGAGCAAAAGTAAAATGATTATCCATAATGCCTAGCTGTTACCATTCCTGTTTGGCTCTCGGGCAGACGCAGATGACATGTTCTGTATATTTTGGGGCTCTTTTTCACAATTCGCAAGTTTCTATTGCATTGAATTTCCTCTTTTTCCTCCCACAGTTGGCCATCTGTATGTTGAGGAAAGCTAGCTACAAGAAATGTCTAATCCTTTTTGGTTCTTTCAACTTCCGAACATTTTTTTCAGTTGGACTACTCCTCTGTTATGGTATCCTCCTTGTCATCATTCTGTAGCCATTCTCGATTCCTTAGGTTATTAAATCCTGTTTAAGTGTGTTTCTTGGGGTGTCTCTATTCCTGCAATAAGAGAGAGTAGCTCGTTAGGAATGTGTGATGTGCAACTTAAATTATTAATATTTACTAATAATATGATTTATCCCGTTCAATAGATGAAGAACCTTATAGTAAAACAAACCACAGTAATCCTATTTAATTTGACATCCAAATTGAAACAAAATGGACAATAATGAAGTGTAGTTGTTAATTGGTTATACTTTTTTATGAATGAAGAAGTCTCATTATTTCCTTATTGCCTTGTTGGTTTAGTTGTATGTTTGATATTAAAAGTTTTTCAAATTATGAGTAGTGACCTTTCTACATGAGACATGTAGTTTGTTGAAGATTAATCAGATTAAACACAAAAACTTACGTTTTTACGCTACACGTTTACGCTTTACGTTTTTGCTCATGTTTTCGCTTCTACGTAGAAACACACATTTGACTACATTGCTAGAGAGGAACTAGCATAACCTTGTAGGAGTACCCCACTAAATATCAACTATTGTCTCTTCCAAAACCCGATTTATTGCAAATGAACTATGCCATACATGTTGGGCTTACCCCATGCTTCAAATTTTGAACACGGAAGACCAAACTGGTTTTGATTAAGCACCTTTAGATCACCCAACACGATACACGAGTCCAACACACAAAGAGAGTGTCATCGATACCGCAAGAATCCAATGTCCTAACCCCACTAATTTACACAATCAACAAACATTGTATGAAAATAGTTAGGCGAGTTCTCATGCATCAATATCCTCCATAGTGCCGCACTGCCCTCCCTAGTTTGCACATTATCAAGAAAACTAGTTATTCAAACCATACTAAGAAGACAATTTGAACGGAACAAGTACTTGGAGCCATCCAATCTTAAAATTTGGCAGTGGACTAGACTCCAAACATATAAACACATTTAAGCAGTCAAAGATAAACACCGATAAACACCCCCAAACTTAAGATCAACATTGTGCTAAATGAAAAAGAGGGAAGGATAAGGGGAATGATGTTACTGGGAGAAATGATTGCAGCAGGTTTGGAGAGTGCATCAGTCATCGAGGCAGACAAGAAGGCGTACCAATATCTTAAACACTGATAGAACAGAAGAGCCACTAGATCACATCATGTTAAGAATAGTTGTAAGCCCTATGGGACAAAACCAAAAGAAAAACAAAACACAAAATATATTGTTTCACACTCCTCATACAAAGAGGAAAACCACAACAAAGAAAAGAACACAAAGGAAGAGCCCCCCAACACGTCGAGGATTAGAGGCCGGTGATGTCGATGTCCTCCATAAAGGTGTCTTCACCCCGCGGAGGGGGTGGTGCCCATGGTGGGGAGTCCTCCCAAGGAGTACTGAAGGTATGATGGATCGAGGTCTACTGGACAAGGAACCACTAGTAATCCATCATTCGGTGGTTGCGATCCCGCTCTTGGTCGAAACGGGCCAAGTTTGCACCCTGTTGTGCCTCGAGCTGGTCCTGACGAGCATCATACTGATCCATGCGGGCAACATACTGTGCCTGATGAGTTGAGTATTGCTCTTGGAGTTGGAGTTGATGGGTCAGTATTTGCTATTTCTAGAAGGCCAGTTGCTGGAACTGCTCGTTGAAGAACTCCATCGACGGAATAGAAGGACTAGCGGAGGACTTGCCTATTGCAGATCTTCGTCGTGGTGGAGAGGATACAGGGGGAGCTCAGACTCCAGCTCAACCACTATTGCAGCCTCATTTGCATCAACTGCCTCAGCCTTGTCATCATCCTCTTCATCACCCCCGTCATAATCATCTTCCCCCTCGTTATCCTTTGGTGGAAAATAGAGACTGTCAACCCAAACCCTGCCATCATCCTCGGCCAAAAGAAGAGCATTGCAGAGGACTATCCTGCCAAGAGGGAGCGAGCCATACTAGTTGCTGATGTTCGTCACGCCACGAAGGTCCACCTCGAAGTGGCGCACTAACCGGAAGATCAGTGAACCACAAAAGAGGTAGTGGGGCTTCTTGTGTCATTTGTAGAGGGTGTTTTCCATGAGAGAGCCGAGGTGCATCGAGTGCGAATCACGGAGCATTGTGTACATGCAGTAGAGCATGCCCTTAGTGAGCTTGTGTGAACCGCGGGAACTGGGAATGGCCGAGCGAGTGAGGAGTAGGATGATAATGTGCCACTCGGGTCTCAGTTTAGTGATGTTGGTCTGCAAGGGGTCGAATATCATCTGGCCAAACTCTGGGAGATAGATCTGGCGATAAAAGCTGGCTATGTGCATGTCCTTCGAACTGGCAGGCTCCTTCGCGTTGGTAGACAATGGTTAAAACTAATTCCCAATGCTCCGACGAGGCCGTCCATGCTCATCTCCCGCGGCTGCCCGTCCAGGCTGAAGGTGAAGGCGTCGGGCCAGTTGAGTGTTGCCTTAGTCTTGAATGCGAAGGTGGTGTAGAACTCCCAAACCAGATCCGTGTAAGTAGCATTGATGAGGCCCAGTAGAGTGTGCCAGTGGGGATGGTGGATCGCAATCGACATCTCGTTGTAGCTATGCAGCCCCCGGAAGACATCAAAGTCGAGGTAACCGAAACGTGGCAATTGTGACCCCATCGTACTTAGCATCATATGCTTCCATGTGGCACAGGTTCCTCAAATATCTGTGAGTGCGTGACATGATCCTGCAAAACATATTAGCCATAGGTGGAGCCAAGCAAAACCACGTTAGGAAACCAAAGGCAGGGGAGAACTAGTTCCCCCACACTTAAGGAACCGCCTAGGCAATCCTTCCTAGCCAAAGCAGCAGCAATGCAGGGTAAAACGCGGAAAGAACAGACAATGCAGATTGTTTTTGTTCTCAAGAGATGGCACAAATAGGTCAAACTATGCAATTACAACAACACCTCCATCTTGCACACCTCTTGCATACACATCCCTTGCCCTAAACTATTCCAAACATGTCAAGCAAATTATGGTTCTCGATCCTAACATGTACAGTCCTATTTTCCAGAAATAGCAAGGAAAGTGTAAAGCACAAACCTGGAAACTCAAGTAGGATCGTAGAGGAAGGTGAGGAATGGGTGAGGCACTCTAAACCATGCAAAAAGAACAACTAGAAAGGTCGTTAGAAGCTAGTTGGAGTTTTGCATGATGCTCGCTAGCGGCGACAAAAGTAACCCAAACATCCAGAAAATTCAAGCGAAGGGGGCCCGGACTAGGGGAAAATGGATCTGCAAACGGATTGGTGATTAGAGGCCTAGAGAATTCGGGATTTACAAATTTTTATGCAAAATTTTGGTTTTTCGGCAGGGAAGAGGGAGAGAGAGGGAGAGCGACCGAGGAAAAGGGGGATATGAAGGGGGTCAGGGATTTGGGGTTCAAAAGACCTCGCCCCGGTCGGGTGTTTGAGTTCCCTGATCGGGAATGGGTGATGCGACCGGGAATTTGAATCAGATGGGCCACCGGTCGCAGAGTGTGATAGCCACGATCGGTGAGCAGGTGGGTTACACTCAGGGATTAATAAAGCGGACTTCGGTCAAGGAATGCGGAATCAGCGATCGGGAAAAAATATTATAGGACAGGGGATTGCTAAAAATGAGAGGAAAATCCCCGATCGGGTATTAGATACTTGATGACCATGGATTGCTAAAAATGCACAAAAAAAACTCGACTTCATTTTTCTCACCACACCTATCACCCAACAACGAAAATACCCCAAATTGAGGGCTCACTAGATGGTCTAGGCTCGATAGACACATAGTTGAATCAAACAAACCAAAAAGTAAAAGAAAAAGGAATAACAAATGCAAACTGTGGTGGGGTTGCCTCCCAAAAAGCACTTCTTTAACGTCATTAGCTAGACTCAATAGACAAAACTAGACTCAATAGACAGAACTAAGGTTCTGCGATTTCAACCACCAACTCTGCGCATTATACTGCTCCTCCTAGATACAGCTTGAGGTGATGCCCATTAACCTTAAAGGGCACAGTCTACGGATTGGCGATCTCAATGGTGCCGTAGGGAAACGCTTGTGTGACTATAAATGGTTCTGATCATCTAGAGCGTAGCTTTCTTAGAAAGAGTTTCAAGCAGAAGTTGTACAATAGAACGTGATCGCCGACCTAAAACTCCTTAGAGCCACTCAAACGAGCATCATGGAGACGCTTGGTTCGCTCCTTATACAGATGAGTGTCCTCATAAGCGTGATAACGCCACTCCTCCAATTCCCCCATATGCATCTTTTTCTCGGTACCTGCAACTATAAGACTCAGATCAAGGTTTAGCAGTTGAAGGGCCCAAAAGGCCTTGTGCTCTAGCTCGACATGCAAATGACAAGCCTTACCATAGACAAGCCAATAGAGGGAAGTACCAATCGACATCTTGTAGGTTGTCCTATATGCCCAAAGAGCATCATCAAGTTTGGTAGACCAATCCTTGCGGGATTGATCCACCATCTTTTTTATTATCCTCTTCAATTCTCGTTTTGTCAGCTCGATTTGGTCATTTGTCTTGGGATGTAATCCATGGAATCCTTATGCTTAACATCATAGGGTGAGAGGAACGTAGTGAATTGCCCTTGAAAATAGGTTCCCCTTTCTCTAATGATGGCACGAGGTGTCCCAAACCGAGAAAAGAGCTGGTTCAGAAATAAACACACACGTCGTGCATCATTGGTCGACATGGCTGTGCTTCTGCCCATTTCGAGACGTAGTCCACAACAACCAATATGTATAGATTGCCATATGAAGAAGGAAAGGGCCCCATGAAATCGATGCCCCAAACACCAAATATCTCACAAATAACAAATGACTTATGGGGCATCGAATCAAGTGCAAAATTTTTACCTGACCGTTGGCAGTGGTCGCGCTGGTGTGAGAATACATTTGCATCCTTGAAAAGCGAGGGCCAGTAAAAGCTTGATTGCAGCACTTTCCGCCCCGTGTTGTTTCCTCCATGGTAACCGCAGTGGGTCCCTCGTAACAGTGAGATAGTACGTCTCCCATCTCGTGCTCCATCACACACCTCCGGATCACTCCGTCTGCTCCCATCCTGAAGAGTTATGGATCCTCGCAGAAGTAGTACTTTAGGTCGGGAAAAACTTTTGCTTCGCATGGTGGACATCCCCTTAGGCAACTGTTTACCCACCAGATAATTGACAAATTCAGAATACCAAGGGGTGACACTCTCCACCAACCACAGTGCCAACAACCTCACACCCAGGAAGGAGTCATCGATTTCTTTCACAAAGTTGTCCACCAAATGGGCTTCGAACTGTGAAAGGTGATTTTGAGCAACATTGTCAGCTCCCTTCTTGTCCTGGATCTCGATACCAAACGTTTTCACTTTGCAGCAGCAGGATCTAGCGGATGAGTCTAGACTTGGCGTCATCCTTAGGCATCAAATACCGGATAACAGAATGATCCATGTAAACCACCGCGTGAGATAGCATCAGGTAAGGTTAGAATTTATCGAAGGCATACACCACTGCAAGGAGATCCTTCTCCGTGGTTGTATTGTTCTTCTGTGCATCGTTCAGTGTCTTGGATGTGTAGTAGAAGGGCTAGAAATGTTTATCGCATCTCTGTCCTAGAACGTCTCCGACCGCATGGTCACTCCGCCAACCGCCGTTGCTTCTGTACTCTCTGTCAACCTCTACCTTCCTCGCTCTCCCAACTCCTAAATCATCGACAGTCACTACTCTCCTCTCCCTACCTCTGCCATTCTCAAACACCATTTCCCCCCATCCTCCCTCTTAACCCCACGCGCCAATCAGAACAAGCTTCATCGAGTTGCCGGCACATGCCTGGCCCAGAATGAGCTTGATCTCCTCCTCATCCTCTTCGACCAAACTCAGCTCACTGGACAAAACTGTCTAATCCTTCAACGAAACGACGTAGCGGTGATAACACCGTATTCACACATGTTTTCCCCATCATTTCTTGATCGTTTAGCTTAGTGATTGGTCATTCCTTAGCCTATTTTATGCTAGGTTGTGTTCTTTTGTTATATTTCAGGTCCTAGTACGTAGATATGGCATTGGGGTAAGTTTCGGGACATTTGGAGATGAAAGAAGGTCGATGGCGAAAACCGGGCAGCAGGGCTGTTGAAAAACACGTCCTCAAACACGCCCTCTGGTGTGAAAAACGCGGCCTTGTGCTAAAGGCCGTGTTTTTCCTCTACCCTTCGCAGAATCGCCATTCAAAAACCCGGCCTCTTTTGATTAAAACACGGCCGTGTTTTTGGGCTTAGAGGCCGTGTTTTTGCACCTGTGCGGGTTTTATTTGGCGAGGAGCTAATATTTTGGGGGAATCGAGTTGTGGAGCAAAAAACATAGCTTTAGAGAGAGAAAGTGCGAATAATAAACCCTAGGAGCTATTTGGAGTGGATTTCTCACCATTGAAGCCCAGATTGCATCTCAGGAGTGAAGATCGACATCCCAAAGCAGATTATCCTCATCTTTATGAGTTTGACTACTCAGATTTCTGTTTTCCTCTCTCTCTCTATGGAGTAAAACCTTCTCTCACTTGGGTATGAAGAACCCTAGTTCCATGTGTTAGGAATCTTGGTTGTAATGACTTGGGATTGATATACAGATTGATTTTAATCGATTGATGCATGATTCATTGAGTCAATTGAAGCCTAATCATCTTTTCTTAATTTCTGCTGCAACCTGAGATAGATAGAATCTGATTAGGTTGTTAGAGCTTCATCAAACGGTAGTGGTAGATAGGTTATACGAGAGTTAATCGGTTTACTGCTTTGTATTGGAAACCAATTCCAATAGTGGAGTTTTGTGCTTAATACCTCGGGAGTCTATCCCGGTGAAGGTTAGTCACATGCCGGTTAGTCTGCCTGAGAGGACTTAGTCAGCTTAAGAGATTCCAAGCTACTGTCGGATCTTCCGTAGTTTTATCAACAGTTAATCAACCCAGGGTAATTACAACCTAGACCTAACTAAGGAACTAGGGGGACTCATTCCGGAGTGATTCTCCCCTTGCGAAAGAACTTTGAACCATTTCCTGCTTTCTTACTGCTTTTAGTTAAAACCACAATCACTCGACTTAGTTTGCTAGATAATAAATAATCACGGAGTAGGCAGTAGATCTAGGCCCTGGGTTGACAAATAGAGCTTGCCACTTACTGCATTTCTAGACTGTGATTGCACTTGGTCGAAGTTTGGTGTTGTGTTTTAGCGTGTCAAGTTTTTGGCGCCGTTGTCGGGGATCTCTAGGTTATTGTAGAAACGTGAAAGTATGTTACTTTAGCATTTACTTTTATGCATCCTCTCTTTTCCACCCATTCTTTTCACTTGGGTATTTTGTTTTTGTTGGTGCAGATCTGATACATGGATTCTCAAGGCCTCTCCAACTATTGGGGGTATCCACCACTACCCGAGTGGTATTACCCCGAGACTTCCTGGAGCACCTAAGGAGGAGAAGACTATGGAGTCGGGTTTCAGTACCAACCCCCCCCCCCCCCCCCCACTACGAAGACCAATCAGACCCTTGGGTATTTCAAGAACAATCTCATTATCAAGAAGAATTCCTCCCACAACTAGAAGGGCCATCAGATCTTGATTTAGCCACAACCTTCACGGGCCATCCGGCAGATCCATGCTACACTCCACAGCCATATCCAAACTATCACTTGAGGCTTCTCATGGAGCAGATTGCTCGAGTATCTGAGAGATCCTTTCCCGAGATGGATCCTCATATCCAGGCCATGGCCCAAACTGACTTCTCCTTTCCCCGTGAAACAGAGGAGACCCTTCGAAACATAAAGAAGCCCATAGAGGTCATTGAGAAAGCTTGTGCACAATTTTCTCAAGACAACCTTTATGCTACAATACAAGCAGAGAAAGAGGAATAGGTCAATCATGAGGATGTCGTGGAGCATACAGAAGTTGTCACAAAGAGCTCCCGTGATGATCATGATCAGAAATATCCTGTTGTAGCCGCCCATTCCTTTCTGCATCCCACACCGAGCGCTGAAGAGGCGAGCATGAGTGATGAGATGCAAGCTGATCTTATTGAAAAGATTGCATGGCGACTTGCTCTCCAATCCGTGCTAGAAGAAGAGGAGCGAGAAAGGATGAGGAAAGAAGTTGTGGAGGATGACGGAAGTAAATTTGAGGAAGTCCTTGATCTTTTCCCAGGGGAGGAATCAAATTCTGAGGAAGGAAGGGGGGTTGAAGAAGCAATTGGCGTCCAGGCTAAGGATGAAGTTGAGGTGGAAGAGGCTTGCATCGGCCATGAGTTACATGTGATATCTCGACCAAACTTCGAGGATATGCTTGGCAAGGACCCATTTGCAGTGTCTCTTTGCCAGACCAAGGCCACATCGACATCGGTCCCTCTTGGTGGACACAATGGTGGTCGGTCGATGCTGTCATATCTGGTTTGGGGCAATGAGACGAGTGAGGAAGAAAAGAAGAGGTCTCGCGGTTGGAGACTTCATATTCATCAAGTACACGAGCCTACATAACCTGTCATACCACCTTGTGACTTGAGACTCCACATCATCGACGAGAACCTCAACTTCAAGGAGGTTCTAGCATGGACCGAAACTTAGCAGCCACCGTGCGACTCACGATGGTAAAGAAGCGCTTGTGGGGAGGCAACCCCACCAAGGTTTGTTTTTTTTTTCGGTTTGTCCACATGGAAATCTGATTCTGTCACCCAATGTGTGTGTGTTTTGATGACTCTAGCTCTGTGCCAGTTGGACTGGTCCTTGTCCAGTCCCCTGCTCTTGACTGGTCCGCCCTCCAATCACCGTTCTTGACCCCTCTTTCACGGTAACATCGTTCCCCTTCCCTCTGCTCCATTAAGGGCAATGTCGAACTTAAGTGTGTGTGTGTGGGGGGGGGGGGTTGCTTTGTATTCATTGGAACGTATATATGTGTGCTTGGAGCCTAGTTCGCTGTCCAAATCTTGAGATTTGAGAGCTCCAAGTACTGCTGTTTGCTTGATCATATTGGCACTGTGGGTTTAATCGGTGAATTGAATGGCTTTCGAATTAATGCATGACAACTGGAGTGTGACTAGGATAACCTATAATGATGATTGAGACGTGCAGTAGAGTTGTGTAGGGGTTCAATTTTTCAACTGTTTGCTTACCAATTGTGACTTGGAATGATCACTTGCTCTTGACAGTCGTTTATGCATCTAGTTCAGGGAATCAGAATGAGAGATAGAGCATATAGGTAGCCATGTGAGATTTGAGCCTGCTCGTTTCTTTCTTGTGCGATAGATCCCTCTTCCATGATGTGTAGCATTCACGTTGTCACTAGCTTAGATGATGGAGGCATAGGAATAGCCCACGACCAAATTGACTGTCCTGGTGTGTCATACCCCCTAGTCAGCCCCTTTGAGCCGTGTAATTTCCTTTCTTTCGGTCTACAATGGAAAATCACCCTTTTGCATCTCTTAGAAGGTTCCACAGAGTGGTTTTTGCATGTTCTCTGCTGTTCTGCTAAAAATAATGTGAGGGTTGGAGGTAGTTCTTAAAAGTTGGGCATTTGTTTGAAAAATGTGCAGAGGTGGTGGTTAACTCAAGAAATGAAAATAAGAAAAAATGAATGAAAGCAAAAGAGAGCCACCACCAAAAATCTGAATAGTGCCCATTAATTAGTGTTTCTTAGCAGTCTGGTTTGGAAATACTAACATTATTGTGACCTCCTTCGCTCTTGTTCTCTAAGGAATTTGAGTAATGCAGAATAGCAGAAAGAAAGTTACTGGTTTGATTGGCTGTGAATGGGTTGGGTTTGGAACTGTGGAACCTTGTGCTATGAATACTTCCACCACCTAAAAGGCTTTTTTCCCATGTCCAAGACCCTAGCCAGTCACTTGAACCTGTGTCTAAGACCTCCGGATTAGTTAGTGATGACACCCAATATGTGAACTCTAACATTTAGAGGCTGCCGTCATGGTGAAGAGACGTTAGGGAATGAGAGAATAAGCATGCGCATTTTTCGCATCAAATTGTCCTGACCCCACTAGTCGAGAGTGAGCGATTCATTTCCTTGTTCTTTATACTCTTTACCCCGGTGAGGACCTAGATGGCTCGGTCTTGATTCTGATGTCTTGAGTGTGATGCATGCGATGACTGTCTTGGCTAAGTGGTTGAGTCGAGTCTATGTTGGTTGGTGAACAGAAGGGAGACTCTTCCTTTACCCGATTATGCTGCACTCGAATGTCTTCTGTGGTGGTTGTCCAGGTTGCTGTTGAAGTCGTCCATGTGTTAATGATCAAAAGCCAGTATGATTCACTTGTTTTGTGCTGATATGATATGTCCCCAAGGGTTGCATGATTAAGATGTTTTGAGCTTACATTGTCTCTGACTTGGTTTGCTTGGGGACAAGCAAACGATTAAGTGTGGGGGAATTTGATAACACCGTATTCGCACATGCTTTCCCCATAATTTCTTGATCGTTTAGCTTAGTGATTGGTCATTCCTTGACCTATTTTATGCTAGGTTGTGTTCTTTTGTCATATTTCAGGTCCTAGTACGTAGATATGGCCTTGGGGCAAGTTTCGGGACATTTGGAGGTGAAAGAAGGTCGATCGCGAAAACCGGCCAGCAGGGCTGTTGAAAGATACGCCCTCAAGTGTGAAAAACGCCGCCTTGTGCTAGAGGCTGTGTTTTTCCTCTGCCCTTCACAGAATCGCAATTCAAAACCCCTGCCTCTTTTGATTAAAGCACGAGCGTGTTTTGGGCTTAGAGGCCGTGTTTTTGCACCTGTGCGTGTTTTATTTGGCGAGGAGCTCATATTTTGGGGGAATAGAGTTTGGAGCAAAAAACAGAGCTTTAGAGAGAGAAAGTGCGAAGAACAAATCCTAGGAGCTATTTGGAGTGGATTTCTCACCATTGAAGCCCATATTGCATCCCCAGGAGTGAAGATCGTCATCCCAGAGAAGATTATTCTCATCTTCTTGAGTATGAATACTTTGATTTCTGTTTCCTCTCTCTCTCTCTCTCTCTCTCTCTCTATGGAGTAGAACCTTCTCTCACTTGGGTATGAAGAACCCTAGTTCCATGTGTTAGGAATCTTGGTTGTAATGACTTGGGATTGATATACTGATTGATTTTAATCGATTGATACATGATTCATTGAGTCAATTGAAGTCTGATCATCTTTTCTTGATTTCTGCTGCAACCTGAGATAGATAGAATCTGATTAGGTTGTTAGAGCTTCATCAATCGGTAGTGGTAGATTGGTTATACGAGAGTTAATCGGTTTACTGCTTTGTACTGGAAATCAATTCCAGTAGTGGAGTTTTGTGCTTATTGCCTCAGCAGTCTATCCCGGTGAAGTTTAGTCGTCTGCCGGTTAGTTTGCCTGAGAGCTTGGTTAGCTTAAGAGATTCCAAGCTACTGTCGGATCTTCCGCAGTTTAATCACCAGTTAATCAACCCAGGGTAATTACAACCTTGACCTAACTAAGGAACTAGGGGGACTCATTCCCGAGTGACTCTCCCCTTGCGAAAGAACTTTGAACCATTTCCTGCTTTCTTACTGCTTTTACTTAAAACCACAATCACTCGACTTAGTTTGCTAGATAATAAATAATCACGGAGTAGGCAGTAGATCTAGTCCCCGGGTTGACAAATAGAGCTTGCCACTTACTGCATTTCTAGACTGCGATAGCACTTGGTCGCAGTTTGGTGTTGTGTTTTAGCGTGTCAAGCGGGTACCGCCGCCGAGGAACCAAAGGCTGAGGACGACACCCTCTCTCAATCGACGGCAGTGATATATGAAAGCTCATTCAAAACTTGATCTCTTTGTGAGCTCCTCCATTTGCATCCAGAGACAGAACCATCCCGAAATCGATGAGAGGAGATTTGGGCAAGCTTAATGGTCTTGAAATTGTTTCAGGTAAGGGATTAAAAGACATTCATACACCAACTCTACCAACTGTCTTTGTTACGCTCGGTGGCTCGATTTGGCGCAGATGGCAACTGGAGATAGGGACGGTGGGACGAACGACCATGTTTTCCCACACAGCAACATTGGGACGAAACACTCTACGTTTCTAGTCCTCCAAAGCGCTCTGATTTCAAGGCATTCATATGCGACATGTTAGTGGATCTAGTGGATCCAAAAACTCTTAGAATTGGCAAATGATTTTCTATATAAAAATCCATAAACCAGAAATATCGACTCGCCTTTGAAAAACCCATCAATGCCTCAATCTGCCCCCGGAACATTGAAGAACTCGTCGTCGAAGGTTGTCGGAGGAGTTTCTAGAGTGAGAGAGATGGAAGGGAGGGAGGGAAAGAAGATACAAGATAATATTATTTTTCTTTTATCGTTTAATAAGAATATAATAATTAGTTGAAATTTATAATTATCCATGTATCGTAGTCAAATGTTTGATTTTGTTCCACGTCATCAAATTCATTCCACCTAAGCAATAATTTTGCTACATCATAGTCAACTAATTTTTGACAAACAGAAAGTTAATGATTTGACTATTATTTTCGAAAAGATATGAATATTATTTTGTTTAAAACGAAAGGTTTGAGGTTTGACTATTAAGTTGTATTTATCCACTAATTTAAAAAAGCATTTTCGGCTTGTGTGTTCCGGCCCAGCCCAAATTCTTCCGTGTCCCTAATAAATACCCCCCTGTCCTGCGGTTGCAAATCAGAAAGGAATTCGCAAGAAGAAGCGTAGAACGGCGTATCCTCTCCCAAGAGAAGTTAGGGTTTATAATTGTTGGAGTTTCTTGTGCAGTTGAGCGAGCCATTTACCATGATCTACGACGTCAACTCTCCTCTGTTCCGTTCTTTCCTCAGCCAGAAGGGTGGCACTTCGGACAAGAGGTACCCTTTCTCCATATCAATTTCTTCTCCAAAGTATGTTTAGGGTTTTGCGATTGTACTTCTTAATCGGCCATGTGAAATGTGCTCCGTCGAAGGATCTGGAATCATGCCTGTTCATCCTTATGATTGATTGGCCTTTCTCGGAGATAGTTTAATTAATGCGCCCATTTACGTTTCAGCTCTCGACTTTTAAGATATACTTGGCTGGAATGGGACCGAAAACTTGATTATGACCTAGGGTTATTGGACTTGGAACGTGACTGTGTCCCGAGGCTCCTTTCGGTGCGCTTTGTATGCCTTTGATTGTGGAATCCTTCTTTTTTGTTGAGCGAATTCTTATTTTGCGCTTGGTTCCGTAATCCAGTTGTCCTGTCTCAGATGTGTGCTAGTATCTCTGCTCTAAAACTTTTTTCTATTGCCAGGCATCTGCATTCCTATTGATATTTTGGTCTGTTGGTCCATTTATTGTGTCAGAAATTATAGTGCCTGCTTTGTGCTGTTTTGCTTTGTAATTTCCCAGCTGTGATGAACTTACGATGGGGTTTATTTCTTAAAGTTGATCATGTGCTGTGGTGCTGTGTAATCTTTGGATGTCATGATGTCTGAACAAATTGTTTACTGCGTGTACCAGGAAAATGGAGGAGCAGAAGCCCAAGGAACAGAGGTTCAAAGCAAACGAGAATAAGCCAGTTATGACAGAGTAAGGCATTATGCGAACAAGCAAGTTCTTTGGGGTCCAAGTAGTGGAATAGCCATATGATAGCACGGATAACTAGTATGAGTGTTATTGTAATGCGTTTAATATGTCGTGTATTTTGTTATGAAAGAACCTCTTAGTCCGTGATTTCGAATCAATTGTCTGCACGATTACTATGGAGTTTGTTATGAGCATATGACTCTTTTGATGAGTGTGGTATGGTTTCGCAATCTTATCAAAGAGATGCATTCATCGCTCTTGTGCATTACATTTTCATTTTTCTGCCCATTAAATTCTAGTTCATTGTTTTTCAGACATCCCTGCCTCTGTTCTGCTATCCGATTGATTGAATGTAAGCTTAGATTATAGAGAGATAATAATGTAGTACTGCAATCCGTCTATAGCTGCCCTGCAGTTGATGGACAGCATTTAGTGGTATAGCGTTTGGTTGTCATTTGGCGGGGGCACGGATGTCGGAGGGAGTTGTGGCTGTATGTATGTGGTCTTGGCACTGCCTGTTTGAGTTGCATAACAAAGTCGAGTTAAACAGCCCGCCACAAGGATTAGTAAGAGATAGTTTGCTACTATTAGGGATGGATTTGGTCCATTATCGATTTCAAAAGCTTGTACTTTGCTTGTTGGAATTGTTGATGGATTTTTATTTTTATTTTTATGAATAAGGTGTTTTATTCATCAAGATAGGATTGGCAGTGTCTCTCTCCTAACTGGAAACGTGTTCAAAACCCATACAAGTGATTACAGAAAAACCATGAGACCTTATACAGAACTTTACAACTTTAGTATCTAAATTGCAACACTATCTATTAGAAAGGATTGAAGCTGCAGCAGGGATACTACATTTCAGCAGTCGTAGGAGATCCTGAATCTTCCTCACCAGTTGCTCTTCATCAAGTGTTTTCCCAACATAAAGCCTTCTACAAAGCTCCCTCCACAGTTCAGTTGTCATCATCATGCAATAGCTGCAATAAAAAAACAAGTGGTCCCTTGATTAAGGGGCACATTTACATAGTGGACAAAAGTTTATGATCATCCTATTCCACTTCCGAATTTTGTCTAAAGTTGAAATTCTATCCTGAATGATCAACCAGACTATGGGCCTATCTCGTGGTAGACACAGCGATCGCCAAACCAGCTTACTCCATGGAACTTGGGCTGGTTTAACCCTGATTACTTCCCAAACATTCGAAACAAAATATTTTTCCATATAAGAACCATTCCAGTAAACACCATCGCTTTTACCTACAGATATTCTTCTGCTAGCAATCTAGCCTTCAAAACTTCTGTCCAAGCCCAAGAGCAGTTCATTGTAGGAGGAATACACCATATGGAAGTGTAGGATAGCTGATATCGTCTTACCCAGCTCGCTCATAGTGAGGAAGAGTTCGACAATATCGCCCATAACTGTCTTTTTAAGCAAGCTGTATTTCAACTCTATAGATATTTAAATCCCAAACCTCCTTCCGATTTTCGTAAAGCGACTCTATCCCATTTGATCTTAGCTTTCTTCCCTTCTTCCTCCGAACCCCATAGGTAATCAGAACAAGCTTTTTCAATCTGCTTAATCACTTTTACAAGTAGCTGAATTATATTCATTCAGTATTGTGTGATACTGGCAATGACCGAAGAAACCAACTGCAATATTTCAGCATAAGATAGTGATCTTGAGTTGATGGATTTTAGGCGATGTATTTAGTATTTATCACTTTAAACGTTACGTTGTTACTAGTTCTGCTTTATTTGTTTTTATATATGGTGGCAAGACAATTTTTGATAGTTTCACGTACTAAAAATGGGGTTTGAAATTAATTTTTGAGCAATTGTCAACCATCAGAGAAAAGAACTAAAGAACACCTCCAGTATTTTTTTTTTTTTTTTAGCAGTAAGAACACCTCCAGTGGATGAAAAGGTTTACATCATTAGCATACCTCATCCGAGAAACTAATATAAACTCAACGTTCTCTCTTTGTATTTGTTATCATCATAAAGCGGCCACCATTCATCTTTCATCAATCTGAACAACACAACCAGCTTCAACGAGATATAATTGAAATAATTAATTATTAAATGAACAATAAGGTAATTTTCCGTCAAGAATTTGATGCCATAGCCAAATTATAAGGGTTGAAATTTACAAGTCCGTGGAATTCACGATTTTGGATAAAAAAGTTCAAATTTGTGAACTGCACCTATCAAACAAACAAGCATAGTTAGTAAATACTTCATTTAATACACGTATATGTACCCTCACATAGTTTATCCGTTTAAAACTTTCGTATCCGTATTATTGTCAAGCTGTTTTATTTTTCCACGTTCATTTGATGGCTCTCGTACTAAACACGTATAAAACCCGTATAACACGTTTATTATCCGTATTTTATGAATTAAATTGTTAACTTTAGTATTATTCATATTTTATTTATTTTTAAAATAATTAAATTTTATTTATTAATGCCTATTAACGTACTATTAAACGTAACTTTAGCTTAGAGATGAAGTATAATACCGTACGTATTTTATACGTAACTTTTCCATACCGTATTATACTGACTATGCAAACAAGAAACAATTTGTGACAGGAAAAATTCATACGGTTTGAAAATTTGGTCATTATCAAATTCAACAAGTAAACGAATTCTAAGCAATGGGGTTTGGTCAAGAACATCCATTACTGGGAGCTTTGATAAAAGCATCTTGCTTTCTGTTGGTTGGGGCCAAAGTCGAACTTTGTGATTAGGTAGGCTACAGTATATGTTCGTTAATATCGTCAATAGGCGGCGGGTCCTGTTCCTTTCTTGGTGTTCCATGATTATGCAGGCACGCCATGACGCCATTTCGCACAAGGCCAGCCAATGGATGATGGGTGGAGGTAGGGGTGCAAATGAGTCGAGTCGAGTTTTATCTTAGTTTGAGCTTGACTCTTTAACAAATAAGGTCGAATTTGAGCTCGAGCTATTTATTAACAAGCCGAGTCGAGTTCGAGTTAGACTTGTTTACTAAATTCTTAGATCGTATTTGATACATTCATTTTGTATGTCGTGTATGGTTCATGTGATTGATGTAACGGTTAAAAAAATAAACAAATGTTCAACATTAATTAATCTTATATTATAATTAGTAGGTGTCATATTGTTTAGTTAATAAATTTTAACTAGTTCAAATCATGTTATTTCATAGTATCGAAACAATTTTGTACATAATTTCTTTATAGAATTAAAAAGAAGGCATATTTTCTTACATGTTCAAAATGTTATACTTCACATGATGTGAGATATATAATTTAACAATCCTATGAATTATGAAAGTCCAAATTAGATCGATTCGTCCATAAGTCGGTAATCAAGTTGCCCTCAAACCACAATGTTGAGACATCTCACTAGCTCTAAATGAGCCAACTCACGAGTTGAGCTCAACAAGCCACCGAGTCGAGCTAGCTCGCGAGCTTCGCGAGCTGAACAAGGCTAAGTTCAAGCTTGGCTCGTTAGTAAACGGGTCGAGTTTCGAACGAGTTTTTCCCGATTCGAGCATCGAGTTGCTCGCGAGTAGCTCGGCTCATTTGCAGCCCTAGGTAGAGGGTGTCTTCTTTCTGTGATAACACGAGCGGATGATAAGTAATGTTAGAAGTATCCAAATGATCATTACGATAGTTATCAAACTAAATAAGTCTAAATTTTATTAATTATGAAATTTAAGTCATAACAAAATCGTCCCAACTAATACAACAATCAAATTCTCGGCACACTTTGTAGGTAGATACTACAATAGGGTAGTCAATTTAGTGGCTAGAAATACCCTCCCTTTGTCTCTGCCTATTCTGATCAGTTTTGATTTTTGCGCTTGGCTCTGTTTGGAAGCCTAAAATGTAGGGCTGACAATCGGTGAATCGGTTATTGGTTTAACCGGTAACCGTACCGATAACTGGCGGTTACCGATAAACCGATAACCGACGGTATCGGTTGTCGGAAGCGGCTGGAGGGCTTTCGGTATACCGGCTCCAAAACCAGTAAATACCGACGGGTATTCGGTATAACCGATACCGGCAGGCAACCAAAACTCGGCGTTTCCCAACTCCCCCAAGGACCAACCTTAATCTGCGTCTCGTTCACTCCAATCGTCCTCCTCACCCAATTCCCTTCCCTCTCTCTCTCTCTCTCTCTCTCTCTCTCTCTCTATCCCCTCTCCCCAATCTTCCCCGAGACCCTGACCCTCCTTTCTTTCTCGATCTCCTCTCCCCAACCCTCCTCTTTCTCTAATCGCCGCCCAGCAGATTTTGTTTGCAAGCCTTGACACAAAGATTCCTTCTCTGCTACCATCAAGCTATATGCAGCTCTAGGTAACTCTGTTTTCCCATTTCTCTCAACAGGATGACGTTCTTTTCTTATACCCATCTCCTCCATATCACGATGGGCACTTAAACCATCCTTTGTTTTGCCCTCAATATTCATAATGGTACCACGAATACTATCACATACATTTTTCTCTATATGCATGACATCAAAATTGTAGTGTACTAAGAGTGATGACCAATATGGCAACTCAAAGAAAATATACTTCTTTTTCCAATAATGAGTTTTGCCGAAAAATTTGATTTTTTTGCCCTTTCCCTTATTGTCGAAAGTTATTGTTTCAAATGAGAGAAGTTGAATTTTTACCTCTTGAGATGATAATCGCTCTGATGCACGACTTTTTTATACAGTGCCATTAAATTCCTTCTTCTGCCTATGCCATTTATGGTATGATGGCAAAAAACCGCAATGATCCATGTAACATTCCTTGTGTCCATTATTGAACCTCAAATATGATGTGTTGCCTGCACACGAAGGGCATGCCAAATTTCCTTTTGTACTCCAACCAGAAAGGAGACCATATGCCAGAAAATCATTGATAGTCCACAAAACTGCAGCTTTCATGTTGAAATTCACTTGCTTGAATGCATCATTAGTCATAATTCCATCACTCCACAATGACTTCAGATCATTAATGAGGGGTCGCAGATAGACATCAATATTATTTCCTAGACTTTTTGGACCAGGAATGGGCAATTTCAATAACAGATATATACTCTTCATGCATAACCACGATGGAAGGTTATACGGGAATAGAATAACTGGCGATGTACTGTTCTTGTTATTCATGTTGCCAAGTGGATTGAATCCATGCGTTGCTAATCACAATCGGATGTTGTGAGAGTCAGAACCAAAAGAAGCATCACACTGGTCCAAAACTCTCCAAGCTTCACTGTCAGCTGACACGTTGTTCGGCATGCCACACCATATCTTCAGCCATTTTCCGCGACATGAATACTCTTTGTAATCATGGATTTATGGGAAAATATCTTAGTATCTTATAGGAAACCTTTGTCACTCTCCCTCTTCTATCCTTACCGATTTTCTTGTACCTTGCTTTCTCGCAGGAAGGGCATGATGTTGCTCCTTTGACCTTCCCGTAATAGATGACACATTCATTTTCACAAGCATCTATTTCTTCATAGTTGAGCCCAATGCCAGTCAAAATCTTCTTTGCTTGATAGTAATTCTTTGGTAATGATGACTGTGCCACAAAGAAAGCAGATCGAAGAAAATTCAACAACTGCATAAAATAGGTATTACTCCAAGAATTAAACCACTTCAAATGCATCATCTTTACCAAGCATGACAGGCTGGATAGCTTTTCATCACACCCTTCGTACACTGGCGTTTGAGCTTCCGTGACCAGTTGGAAAAACTCCTCTACTTCTACATTGGGATTCTTGGGCTCAGGATCCAAATGCGGTCTTAGATCATTTAATAACCCCGACATGTCATCTACACCCATCTTGTTGTCATCATCTCTCGTATCCTCGTCTTCAGAATAATCATCTTCATCTTTCTCTCCATGGTAAATCCACTTAGTGTAATCACGTGACATTCCTCGTCGTACAAGATGTAGCTCAACTTTTAGTTTCTCCATTCTTACAACATTACGACAATCCACACAAGGACAACGTATTTTATCGTCTTATTCTCTAATATTATCAAATGCGAACGCGAAAAAATGTTGAACGCCATTTGCATACTCCATAGTTGATCTATTACGAAGCTGCATCCATTATCAACACCTGTCGTTATACCTACAAAAAATGTACCATATATTTTTAATTATCGCACTTCAATTAATGAAAATTAAAACTATGTATGCAACCCATAAACCGTATTAGAGTTTTCTTAGCAACTAAATTGAAATGAAAAACACTTACTAACCATCAATTAAACTATAACATGCCCTTCTTATGTATATTATGCTTTTTATTTGTTTATTAAATTAACTCATCATAACTCCATCTTCTCTCACAAAAAAGAAACACACTTTATCCTCCTTCGTCATCTTGCCTGCGCTCTCCTTACACCCCTATCGGAGTTCAAGTTTGTTCACTTACCTAGAAATTGAGGGGATTTCAAGACCGTTAGTTGCTCCCGATGATGGAAGATTGGGGGGGGGGGGGGGGCACGGAGGAGACGACGCTGGTGCTTTCGATTGCTACGTCACTTGGAGAACTAGGGCGCAAAGGAGACGACACACCCGCCTCTGGTTGCTCCGATGGGCCGGAGGTTCGAGTTGCGCAGATGAGGCGACGCGGCAGTGATAACGATGTAATTGCACATGTTTGCGCCCCTAGTTCTTATCCGTTTGAGGGGCATAGTTGTGTGCTTTTGGCCTATTTTATGCCGGGTTGTGCTATTTTGTCATGTTTCAGGTCCCAGGTGTCAAAGGGAAGGCTAAGCGCGAGTTTCGGGGCATTCGGAAGTCATTTCGGTGAGCTGGAGCCAAAACACGGGCACACCTAAATCATTACACGGCCGTGTTCTGGTGGCCGTGCTTTTTATGCCGAGAGCTGAGCTGATTACACGGGCAGGGCTGAGATAGAACACGGGCGTGCTTCACCAAAGCACGGCCGTGTCCTCCCCGAAGCACGGCCGTGTTTCTCCTAGTGTAATTAACACTAGCCAAAGCACGGGCGGGCTGAGGCATTACACGGCCGTGCCCTCGACCGTGCTTTGGCCACTGATGCTTTTAAGCAGATTTTCAGCCACAAGTCAAGGGGATTCGAGTTTTTGAGAGATAGAACGATTCCTAGAGAGAGAAAGTGACGAGCAAGAGTTCCCAAGTGCCCTAGATTGATCTTCAACACCATTGGAGGCCAGTTGGAGCTTGGAGAAGTGCCGATCAACGTAGGAGAAGGAATCCATCCTTCACAGTATGAATTCCGCGTCTGATTCTGCTTTTGCTTCTTTCTCCATGGAGTAGTTCTCCCATTCATCTGGGTATGGAGAACCCTAGATTTGTATGTTAGGCTTTGATTGTATGAACCCAAGTACTGATTCTATGATTGATTATATTTGATTGAGGTTTGAATGATTGAATGACTTGAATCCTGATCAAATTCCTGTTGTTTCTGCTTTAACCTAGAATGAGAATATATGCCTAGGTTAATAGAGTATCCTTGATTGAAGGTAGGGAGTTGGTGACTTTAGTCGAGGAACCAACTCACTATTTTGTACCGGATTTACTCCGGTAGTGGAGGTTTTGTTCTTAGGGCCTCAATTTGTCTACTCCTGTGGAGGTTAGTCGCCCGCTAGAGACTCAGATTGGGAGGGTCTGAAGACCTTTAGTCGAGACTTCAGGCTGTTTAAGAACCTTCCGCAGTATAACTATCATAGAAACTGAACTTGGTAATTACAATCCGGCTTAACTGCAGTCTAGGGGGAACCATATCCGGGTGACCTCTTTAACCTGAATACAACAGTTTACTTGCTTTGTTTGTTTGGTAGTTTAGACTTGCATTCCAGTTTCATTGCTAGATAACAAGAACTCACTAAGTAGTCATCAAATCTAGGACCCGGGTTGATAATTAAACCTAAACCCGCTATACTACGCTTTAGGAAGTGGTTACACTTGGCCAATTCCTGGAGTGACAGTAGAAGTGAGTCAGGCAGCCTAATCCTCTGGTGGGTGTGGGTTTTGGAGCGGATGGTGTATTGAGTGAGAAGAATGATGGTGGAGAGTCTATCTGTAGTCTTCAGAATATGGGTTCGTTTTTCTTTCTTTTGTTTTGATTCGTACACAGAATTCAACTAACATGCATAGTCTTTAAAAAGATGCACTTTGATTTCTCCAATTGCAGGTCTAAATCAAACATGCATGCACCCTAAAATCAGCTTCGAACCCTCTGAGATTGGGTATCAATCGAACATCCATGTAAATAATCTTTGTTCATTGCACATTCATGAATAAATGGGGATTCTGTTCGGGTGCCTGAAAATCCTTCACCTCAATTTGGTGCATGATTGTTAATTACTCTGTTATGGTGCAATATGCTGAACCAATTTTGCCTCTGATGCATCACTAGTTCATTCTTGTTGTTTTTTCTGAAATGACCATTCATGTATGCAATCTATTCATTTCCCTGGCTTTGCTAATTGTTCTGTCTTATGTCATTAGGTCGTTTAATTGTGTAGCCCTACCCAATTCCCTGAACTAATCCTTAATTGCAAAAAATAATTAAGTTTTAGGGGATTAATATGTAAACAAGTGGTCTTTGGTATATCTCCAACGAGATTTACTCAGAAAAATAAACAAACACCGCCTAATCCCGAAGGCTCTTTGTCTGGTTAAAAAAGGCGGGATTTTTTTACCCCGATTTCCACCACAATAACTACAGTACTACACAACCAATGCTAGTTGTTAAACCCTACTTAATTTCTAGAATCACGCTTCAGCAGAGGCAAAGGAACCTAAAAGCCAATTCCTATCTTCTCTGCCAATTCTTTTTCTTCTTAGCCATTCTTCTCCCCCAATTCACGAAATCTGCTTTGACTAGATAGCAAAGAAAAAGAAACGCCTTCATTCCCAGAACTAGAGGGAGGATTCTACACCTCGTGAAAGAGAGCAGAGCAACTCTCCGCCTCCTGTTCAAGAGAGTCAGCAAGAAGGACAAGAAGGTAGGAACACCAATCATGTTCCTGTTGTTGAAACTCAGAGAACGGAGGAACAAACCCTGTTACACATGAGGAAGAAGAACCAGAGCAGGTTGATTCCGATGCTCATCAATCAACTGCGGATCCTTCGTCAGAGGGTGCAAGTTTGAACAGTGAGCCTTCTTCTGTCATTGTTTTGTTTAGTTTGATTTTACAAAGTATCCTGATTAGCTGACTTTTGTTTACTTGTGATTGGTACCACCAAAAAAATAAAAGGAAGATGTCCAGGAAAGGGAGTCAAACCTGGTCACAACCTCTTCTTGGAATTTAACGACAACAGGTCAGTAAACCCTTTATGACACTACTAGTGCCTGCTTCTTTATTTAGGTTTCAAAAACAAATATGTAAGCCTTAATCATTTGTGGATGAGGGAAAGCGCAGTGGGAGCTGCTGTGTTTATTGGTCCTTTGGATGAGGGTTGATTTTCTGCTGTGATGTGGTGGCGTTGGGTTGATGCCCTTTGTTCCTCGCCTGTGTTTCACCTTCATCTAAAAAGTCTTAATAATTTTTAATGGCATGTGCAGGATAATCACCACTCAAGCACGCCGCGAGTTTCAGCCATATTCAAAAGGAACATCACTGGGACTTGGATTAAATTCTCAGAGTATCCGGCATCAGAGCTACAGACTCTGATAGCTCGTTTCAAGGAGTCCGAATTCGCTTACACTGGTTCAGAAGAGACGTTCAAAAAAATGGTCAAACAACACGTGAAGAGAAACTATCCCCAGTGGATGTATGGTATCCGAAACCGAATATTTACGAAGTACAAAGATCTAAATGATAGAATGAACCATCCACCACCCAAGACAACTCCATCAATCTGGAGGAAAATGGTCCATAAATGGGATGACCTGAATTGCGTGGTAAGTTATTGTATTCAATATTCAGTTCTTTCCTAGTAATCTGATTTGCAAAGTGAGCTGAATGTTGGTTTATTTCATTGTGAAGGAAACAAGTGCTAAGAACAAAGAGAATCAGGAGAAGAGTGAGCTTGCAGCCACTGCGGTTCAATACCTTTGGCCAAGTACATACATGATGAGGTAAGCTGTTGTACTTGTATAAATGTTTATGTTATGCTTGAATTGTGATAACTTTACATGTTTTTAATGCCACATTTTGGTGTTAATTGTTTGGTAGATAAAACAAACTGGAAAAGAACCTGATCTAATCGAAATGTTCAGACGTTTCCATGTGAAGAAGGACAAAAATTGGGTTAGCTCAAAGGCAAAAGACCTGCATGTAAGTTCAATACCGTTGGCTGCATTTTGATTAGGATGGTCTGATAGAAGCATAGGCTGTTGTACCTGCTGTCTTTTTTATATCGATGTTAGTGCAACTTACATAGGATTAGGATGCTGTTTGTATTCGTTTCTACTGTCTTTTTTATCAATATTAATGTTATTTACCATTTGATTAGGATGGTATGATAGAAGCAGAGGCTGCAAAGGTATACCAAGGGAAAGATCCAAACAGATTTGCCATCTATCAAGAAGTGATAGGACTACAACGCCCCAAGCGTGTTCTAGGGATGAGACATGGGGCGAGCTCAGTTGATGTCTTCAGTCCCCCATCGAGTCAGGGTTGCAACAAGCGTTGTCAAGAGGATCGAACCAAGGAAAGGGGAAAATGATGAGAAAAATGAAGAAGTTGGAGAATAAGATCGTAGATGTGAGGAATGCAGTCTCTCACATCATTGAATCTGTGTTGCAGAGACTTGGAGTGTGGCTGCCAGAGTCATTTGATATGGTAACTACTTTGCTGTCATGTTTTCTTTTGTACTCCTTACATAATTTTTAAAGCTATGTAATATGGGCATTTAAGTTAATATACTTGTTATATACTCTATAGGATATCAACAGCGAAGCCAATGGGGAACATGGTTGAGTTGGCGAAACTCAGGAAACGATGAGTCTGACGACGAGTTCGACGAGGAGACTGCCGATGAGACTACTGCTGCACGAATTTCTTTTAATGCTCTTGTAGGATTCTAAGTATGGCTTGTTTGGGATATTTTCTGTCATTTTCGGAGGATGTTAAGACTTTTGAATTTTTGATGTTTGGTTGCAGCTGATGGGTACTTGCAAGACAGTTTATCTAAGTCAATTTCGGAATATTATTATCTATGCATAACTTCGTTTGCATGAATTTTTTTGTGTGGTCATCACAAGAAGTTTAACGGCGTCACAAATGAAATTTGGTCACGCTATTTGCTACAAATTTATCGTTGTTAGTAGCTATAATTTCACTACTAACGATAAGTAAGCGTCATTAGTAAATATAATTTCTCTGACGACACGTTAGAAAAGCTTAATTTTTACGATAAATTGATGTCCTCGTGAAGGAATGCAATTTTTACATTCAACTAGTAGACAATTAGATCATGGAAAGTAGCTAAGGCGCCCAACAATGTCCTTACAGTATCCCATCTGGACACTGAAGCAAATACTTCAGAATAATCACTGCCTTGTTACTAAGCATATCCCTTCAGTAGAAGCCTTGATTTGAGCTTATCAACTTCTCCAATCTCATTAAACTTGTTATGAAGACCCACTTTACCAACAGGTGTAATACTAGGTGGTAAGACAGTTAGGATCCATGTTCAATTCTTCTCAATGGCCACCATCTCCTGTGTCATTGCTATTCACCACTTTTCTTCTTTTACTGCGTCCTCAAAGGTTTGAGGATCTCCAGTAATAGCAACCATAGCCATCCAATCAACCTGCACACAACCCATCTCAAAGCCATCGAAGTGTGTAGGTAGTTTGGAACTCCGAGAACTCAGGGGGTTAACTCTCCAACAGTTAGTCCAAGAACATCAAGTGCTTCTTCTACATCACTATCAACATCAGTGGATGATGTCTGTTGCTGATTGCCACTTGATGGAGTTGTTGAAGCTTCACTTTTAGGAGAAGCTTATAAGACTACTACAGTATCTGGTGCTGCAGCTTCTTCTTCATCATCACTTCCTTCTCATGTAATTTTGATCAAGAAAGGAGTGATTTGTGAATCCCAGATCCATCCAGATTGTGTTTCATAAAAAATCCTTGTTCACTATGATTTTCTTGGTTATTTGATTGAACAGTCGGTACGCCTTTGACTCTGCTGAAACTCGAAAAAGATGCATCTGATACTCTTGCCATCTAGCTTCTTTTAGTTATGATGTGGAACATGCACATATAATGTGCATCCAAACACTCTGAAGTGTTCTACTGATGGTGGAACTCCATACCAAAGTTCATGTGGTGTTTTGCTTTTATTATCTGTTGTTGGACTCCTGTAAAGAACATGAGTAGTTCAAGAAGCAACCTCAGACCAGTACCTTGAAGAAACCTTAATATCCTCAAACTGCATCTAACCATATTTAGTATGGTTCTATTCTTCCTCTCAGCTATCCCATTATATTGGAGAGTGAGAGTTGCAGTTAATTGTCTCCTATTACCTTCATCACATAAACTTTAAAATTCATTTAACATGAATTCCCCACCACGACCAGTTCTTAAACACACTATAGATGCATTTGTTTCCTTCTCAAATAGAGCTTTAAAACTTTAAAGACACTGAAAGATTTAAGACTTTCTAGCTAAGAAGTAGACCAATAGTTTTAGACTAAAGTCATCTATTAGTGTGAAGAGGCACATTTTTCAACTGCTTGATACTTTAGTGATGGGACCACACAGTTCAACATGAATGAGCTGTAGATTTTGTGTAGCCCTCCACGGACTTCTCTTTGAAAAGGGAGTTTTGTGATGTTTTCCAAGCAGACAAGTGGTGTAGACTTCAGGTGAGCCTTTCAGTACTAGCAGCCCTCTAACCCTTTCATTCTTTTGTAGTTCCACCAACCCATTATTGTTGAGATGACCAAATCTTCTATGCCATAAGTTGAGATTATTATCTCCATCAGTGTAAATACACTGATTCTCAGTAGGTGACATCATAACACTGTGTAGCACAAATACCCTATTTGTCTTCACAGCAGTCTATAAGAGAAGACCTTTCTCATCATGAAAGAGTTTACAAACACCTTTAATAAGAACTATTAAACCCTTCTCTTACATCTGCCCTATGCTCATCAGATTGGATTTGAGACCTGGTACATAGAACACATCCTGAACAGCCAAGGATAGTTGTTCTATCTACAACTGAGTAGTGCCTTTCCCTTTACAGTAAGATTAGTAACTTTTCCCAGCTTTATTAATGAAACAAAAGATGTACCCAAACTTGTAAACCACTTTTTACCACTGGTCATGTGATTGTTGCATCCATAATCCAAGAACCACCAGCCTTCACTCTTGTCTTCTGATGCTTCTGCTAATGTCATTTGAACTTCAGGTTGCATCTCTTATTTCTCCTCCTCTTCATTGAAGGCCATTTGCAACATGTCTTCTTTCATATAATGGTAGTCAACACCTTCATTGACAGCTGCAGGGGTAAAATGTGTTTGCTGACCATATAGTTCTGGACATTTTGCTTTGAAATGACCTAACTTGTGATAGTAGAAATATTCAATGGTATCTCTATTCCATGTTATTCCACCTCTTCCTCCTCCTCTACCAAAAAATTCTCATCTTGCCATACCTCTTCCTCCTCTTCCTCCAACATCAAAACCAACCTTCAGTGCCTAATCTTCAGTATCTATCTTCTTCATGAACTTTTGTTCACGAACCAGAAAAGAAGCCTAAAGAGCATCAACAGTGAGGGTCTCTATATCCTTTGACTCCTCAATGGAGCAAACAATATAGTTAAACTTTTATATTAGTGTCCTCAAATCTTTTCAACCACTTTTACTTTTGGAATTTCGTCTCCACAATTTCTCATGGCATTTGCCACATTCATTATTCTCTCAACATAATCATTCACACCCTCACTACCCTTCATTTCCAAAACCTCAAACTCTCTTCTCAGAGTCTCCAACTGAGCCTTCTTCACCCGTACGCTCCCTTGGTACTTCATTTCATTGAGTCCCAAACCTCATTGGTTGTTTCCTTGTTGGCAATTGTCTTCATAATTGTCTTATCAATATAGCTAAATATATAATTTTTGGCTTTAAGATCCTTCAGCCTCAAATTATCCATCTCTTTGCTTCGTACCTTAGTCATGCCTGATGTTTCCTCTGGTGTAGGCTTAGTGAAACCCTTCAAGACCACACCCAAGAACTCTTAGGACCTGAGTAGATTCTCTATAAGCAAACTTCATGGATCAAAATCAACATCAAACCTAGGAAAGCACACTTGTGCAAAACCTGACGCCTCACTCATCTTTGCAGAAACAACTCACAAGCACTCTCTTGTGTTTCTCTCACCACACAGTATTGTCCTCACAATAACCCTCATGTTTCCCAAACCCAGACTAAATTTCATCTCTCAATCACTAACAAATCTTTGGTTACAGTAAGCCAATGCTCTATTACCACAATGTAAGCACTATTGGTGCAAACTGGTAGCTTGTTTATTTAAAATTAAAGTTTAACCTTATAATGACCCTCAACAGACTGCACGATGGCAAGCTAGTATCCCATCATCTCATTTTCCTTATTTTCCGGCACTAACTCTAACAGCTCATCCTAATCTGAATGCAAAGCAGCCTGGACTAACTTGTAACATAAAACAAAGTCCAAGGACCAAATCATTAAAACACATGTTGCGCTTATTGACTCCCAAATGACACCGTACTATTTTAAGAAACACTCACTAACAAAATGATGTCCTCACTCACTCCATCCTACTATATGTTGTCTCTTTAATTGTTTGAGAGGGTTTTATTTAGATGGTTTCGATCTATTGGTTGGTGATGAACAATGTCACCGTTGTTTTTTTAATTGTGGGGATTGCCATGTAGAATTTGTATACTTGCTATATGCATGATTATTCATGAATAAGACTATGATGGTGAGCAGCTGTGGCAAGAAAGGTACAAGAGGCTATCTGCAGGTCAGCAACTCATATATACACAATTTTTAACTAGTATTCAGGAAGTTGTGCAATGGCAAATTATCAATTCTGAAAAATTTGTAGGAGCAACCACACCTAGAGTGGTTCTTGTAAACTATTGTCTTTCTGTGTTAGCAATTTTAGTTATTAATTTGCCTGCAAGTGTGATTTGTTTCGTTTGAGTGATTAATAAGTCTACTCATGTAACAGAACATAGTGTACTAGTGGTTGTATCTATGTTTGGGTTATACTTAGAGATTACCATCTTTAGATTAGGTTCGTCTGTCTTTTTTTGCACTTCTTCACTCTCAATTGCTTCGCTATTTTCGAACTTCCTGCCTTACTCACTATATTTTATGTTTTACCATGTGTTGTTGATGAAAGTTTAGAAATGAGAGGTAGATGCGATGATATTGGTTCATAAACGTGTGATTCTAGATAAGTGTGAACTATTTTTTTTTTTTACGTTTACATATAACGCTTAGGAACGCCTAGGCAACGCCTAAGCATGCTAGGCGCAAAGCAGAGTCTCAACGACTAAGGAAATTTTCCAACTATACCACCAAATCCTCCCCCCCCCCCCTCCCTAAAAAAATACCACTCATTTCCAAAAACCAAAAATAACACCCTTTTCCCAAAATCCGCCACCCACCCCACGGTTTTAGTGAAAATTGCCACCCCACATGGCAGTTTTCGTTCGTTC